CACAAACACATGATTCTCAACAAGTAAACAAACTACTACCATCCCACCAACAACAGCCAAGGAAAGCTTGGGTATCACACTTTGAGCAAAATACAATCCTAACCTCCTTTGCCTCCTCCACATATGAATGCCAACTATTGAAACTGGATGAATCTCTCAATGGCAGAGATATGCAGCAATAGAGAACATTTCTCCTGTTCAACATTGGTAGGAAAAGGGGCACTTTCCAAAAAGAAGTGACCAGCCTATGCCTCTCTTACAGGATGTGCTCTGCACCCAGATTCTCAGCTCAGTGCTTATTCTGCCTCCAAGCATCTCTGCCTCTTGGATTCGATTCCCCCACAGCCTCTTGCCCCCCTGTCCCACTCCACCCCAACATATAGATCTTCTGCAATGCTCCCACAGCTCTGCCAAACTAGCCTTTCAATTCCCCCTCAACACCACCACTGCTGATATTCTGCAACTCATTCTTCCCCCTCAGCGATTGGAATGCTTATGGAAATTTCATCACACCACAGCAGTTCAACCAGTGTGGAAAGGAAGGCTAGCAAAAGCCAGCCTTCTTCACACAGCACATAGTTAAACTATGGAACTCGCTCCCACAGGAGACAGCGATGGCTACCAATTTGAATGGCTTTGAAAGAGAATTGGACAAATTCATGGAGAAGGGGGATGAGGCCATCAGGGGCAATGGCTATAATGATTCTGAATATTAATTATTGGAAACTACAGGAGTGGGGAGTGCTCTTGTGCTCAGGTTCTGCTTGGTGGTTTCCCACAGGCATCTGGGTGACCACTGTGAGAACAGGATGCTGGACTCAATGGGCCACTGGCGTGATCCAGCGGGCTCTTATTACATTCTTAATGTTCAATATTCATTTCTGATGCAGTGCTGTGGATAGCTCAGTCGGTAGAGCATGGGACTCTAAATCTGAGGGTCATGGATTAAAGCCCCACATTGGGCAAAAGATTCTAGATGATCCTTGTGGTCTCTTCCAACGGTACAATTCTATGCTTCTATGAAATAGTACGTACATTTAATCTGCATCAATATGTGGTGGCTTGTGGGGAGATGATCACGTCTGACTAAGGTTAACATTGCTCTTCCCTGGCCCAGTTCCTTTATTTTCAACTTCTGCCTGATATGCAGAAGCAGGTGAAGCTGTTAGCAACAAGGAGGTCAGTGGTCAGAAATGCCCCAGTAATTAAAATTCTGTGTTAAGCCACTGATTTTTTTTTTAAGTCTGGCAACCTTCTACTTCCAAAATTATTGAGATGAGGTGCTGAATATTATTTTACTTTTCAGTAAGAATGTATACCATTCTTCTGTACATGCTCAAGGCTAAGTCACATTTTTTAGTGAAGTTCAGGAACTGTTGCTGAAAACATGATACTCCCCCCCATATATATAAGGTATTTGAAATTCTGAAAACAAAACTGGTAGCCTCTCTTTTCACCCTAGAATGACAACAAAACTTCACCCAGGATTGCACCATATTTAATGAAAGGAGCACACTACCTATCTTTGTCCCCCCCCCCCCATTTATGACTAATTCATATGCTGTCTTTCACTGGATTTGTTATTTTTAAAAATATTTTATTTAAATTAAGAGTAAAAACAAGGATTTATAGCATATGAAGTAGTCATAAATAGAAAAAAATCAAAACCCACATTATACAAAGATTAATATTTCACATTCCTATAAACTAGGCTTATTTTAAGGGCTATATACATTGGTGGTGGGGGACTTCTGGAGGGCACCAGGTTGGCTATCCTAGCACCATGTGTAGCAAAGTGAATTTAAATGGTTAGGCAGTGGAAGACAGGAGTGCCTGGTGTGCTCTGGTCCATGGGGTCACGAAGAGTCGAACACGACTAAATGACTAAACAACAACAATATATTAAATGGCTAGGCTATATATTTTTGGACAATGTTCAACCCAGTATATAAGAACTAACAAAACAGATTAACAGTGTACTCTTAATCATGTCAACCCAGAAGTAAGTCCTATTGAATTCAATGGGTTTTATTTTCAGGTATGTAGAGTTAGGCTTGCAGCCTGATTCTTTAAAGCAAGCTGTTTCAGCTTTTGCCTTCGTCAGCCAGAAGCCAACACGTTTTGCTATAAAGATTTAATCTCTGTTAGTAACTGTTAATATGATTTCAGTGATCAATTTGTTTGAAGTGCAGCACGAAGTTTTAAAAACAGTCTCTTTCACTCCCTCTTTCAGACAGCCAAAATGACTTTTATTTGTTTTGTTCCATAATAATGTTACGCCCAGAATTCCCCCGCCTCCCCATTATAATACTCCTTCCCTTCTAAGTTTAAAATACCTATGCACAGAAGGCAAGCGGGAAGCATTCCACTCTGCACATGCACAGAAGAACTCCCATTTCTACTTCTCGGCATTCTGCCAGTTGTTAAAACAAGCTAAGTAGGCAACAAACGGCAGCCGTTTCAAGGGGTTGGGAGACGGTTATGGGGTGGAACAGGCAACAGAGGGCTGCGTCTTACGGAGCGAGGGCTCTCTCCTGCCCAAGGTGGGTGTAATGGCGACTCTCACCTCCCCTCTCGCGGCAGCCTCGTTGACGCCGCTGCTGCCATTTTGCATTTTGCCCTCAGCTGCTTCCGCCCTTCTCCCCGACTTCCGCCGCGCTGTTTCCCGTAGCAGCGGCCCGCCCACCTAGCTTAACTGATGCGTTGTCAGCCCAACCGACTCCTGCTTCCCTCTGTTGCCGCGGTAACGAGCCCCTGTTTGACTTACTGCTGTCACCCCTCCCGCGCTCCACAGTTCCTATGGCAACGGTCTCCGTCTGCAAGGACCAAACTCATTTCAGACCGGCCCGGGGCAGAGACGATGGGGAAAATATTCCAGATGTTAGCCCTGCTGGGCCAGTATGGCAGATCTCTGCCCTTTTTATTCACCCCCCCGCCCCTCCACACCACCTTTTTCCCAGTTCAAAAACCACAAAAAATGTTCCTTATTAAAACGTGGAGTTACTTTCTGAGAATTTATTTGTTTAGCTCATCTATATCCTGTCTTTAAGGATACAACTCCTTCCAAGGCAGCTTTTCAAGTAAAATCAAAATAGTTGCAATCAGACAATAATATCAAATTCATCCTTGTACTTCTGATTGTACCGTGCAAGTAAAAAGATCTGGTACCTGGAAGAGAAATTGGTGCTCCTATAATATAAATTTTCATTTAAAAAAGATTCTAGTCCCTGTGCAATCTTTTACCTGCCTACTGAAAAACCCAATTGAAATAAGTCAACTGAATTCAGTGGGGCTCCTATTAAGTACAGTGGGTCTTGCTTGTGAATAGATATGTAAAGGATTGCACAGGGATAGATATTTGTAATAAAATAAAAACTGATATTCTCAGAGTACTGAATTCTGGCCAGATACCATAACTAATCTGGTAGGATTACAATTCAATTAATTTATTGCTTTGAGGAATCATGACATGATTTTCTGTGACAATAACATGCAAAATGCAATATGCAATAAAAGCCATTAAAATGAAACAAATATACTAACAGTGTTCATCCACATAATCACCCAAGAACAGCAGCCTTACAGTCACATCCAATTAAGACATACCCAGAGAAGACCCATTGAAATCAATTGACATAAATTAGTCACATTAATTGATTTTGATGGGTCTGCTCTATTTTATTTACTATTAAATTTATATCCCACCCTTCCAAGACAGTGAATACATCAGTAAAAAAGCAATACAATTAAAAATAAATTTTAAAACAGTTAAAAGCATGGAAAACAATCACATAATCTAACAGCTAATAATGTCAAGATTGCCAGGAACAGCATCTTTCAGCCATCACTCTTATTCTAAGATGAAAATAAAGATTCCTGTCCAAAACCTTCCTGCCCATTGTAGCTGACCCCATAGTCTGATAAGGCCGCTTTCTACATTCCTGTGCTCATTGACGGATATGTGATGGGCAAATGCAATATGGCTCAAGCAGTGGCGTAGCGTGGGGGGTGCAGGGGGGGCCGGCCGCACCGGGCACAACATCTGGGGGGGGCGCTCGCACTTGCAGCTCTCTGTCCCGAGTGCTAAAATCCATGGGTTAGGGGGCGCAAATTACTTGCCTTGCCCCGGATGCTGACAACCCATGCTACGCCACTGGGCTCAAGCTTGCTCCCCCTCATATATTTTATGTGCATGATGTGCACCAAATGGCAGAGCCAGCCCAAGACATTTTTCTGCTGGAGAAATCAGGACAGATAAAAGAAAGTTCTTATTCACACAGCATATAGTTAAACTATGGAACTTGCTTCCACAGGAGGCAGTGATGGCCACCAACTTGGATGGCTTTAAAAGAGGATTGGACAGATTCATGGAAGAGGAGAAGACCAATAATGGCTGCTAGGTCATAGGCAGTCATACTTCTGAATACCACTTGCTGGAATCTGCAGGAAGAAAGAGTTGTTCTTGTGCTCAGGTTCTGCTTACAGGTTTCCCTTTTGGGCATCAGGCTGGTCATTGTGAGAACAGGATGCTGGAACTGATCCAGTAGGTCTCTTCTTATGTTCTCATCACATGCCAATACTAGCAAATCATGTGTTAATACTAGCAAATGGGATCATGTCCTCCACTGCACCTGAGGGCAGGTGGCTAATCATGGGATGCAAAGGGCGGCAGGACAGGTGCATGGCATGCATATCTTTGCCTTCCAGCAGAAGGTGTCTCAGGTGGAACAGCTGGGGAGCTGCCCCTATCGCCCCCTATTTTCTGCTCCCTGAGGCAGCTGCCACATTCTGAATAGCATTAAGACTGGCCCCGCCAACATTATCTAGGCTGAGAAGGTTTTGTTGACAGCATATCACAGAACACTTGTTTTCTCCCACTAAGTATATATTTATTTAACCAGTGGAGCAAACACCTGACATTCAGGAACTTGTCAATGAAGGGATTCCCCAGCAACAGACTAGTACCACAGAATAAAAACTCCACTCAGACATGGAAGTTGGAGGATATGGCAACCTGTAGTATGTGTTCCAAGACTTCCTCTCTCTCCTCTCTCAGGTACAGTGCTCTGTTTTCTGTTTGTAAGTTTGTGGAGGGTAATCTTTTAAAATCTTCTGCTAGTCTGAGCTCGTGAGAAATCAATCTTCGTTATGAAAACTGTTTTAGTGTGGCAGTATCTGCTCTTAGGAACTCCCCGCCTATTTACATCAGGCAGGTGGCTTCACTGTACCCTTTTCAGACCTGTTTTTAAATATTTTTCTTCTTAACTGTTTTCACTGGTCCTTTCAATATTTTTTTGCCACCTTGATCTCACTGGGAAAAAGGCAGAAATGTAATTACAGGAACATAGGAAGCTGCCTTCTACTGAGTTAGACCATCGGTTTATCTTGCTCAGTATTGTCCACACAGACTGGCAGCAGCTCCCCAGGGTTTCAGTCAGGAAGTCTCTCCCAGCTGTACCTGGGGATGCCAGGGATTGAACTTGGGACTTTCTGCATGCAAAGCAGATGCTCTACCACTGAGCTACAGTCCCAAATGAATAAATATAGCACCTCAGATGCTTTTGCTGCTGCCCTCACATCTTTAGGCAGAATCAGATGTGATATCCCATGTTAAGAAGCATAATGTAAGATGTGGTTTCATCCTGAAGCTCTGATCACTGCCCTTAACTCTCTGGCCATGAGGGATTTGTAGGTGCGTCTGGTTATCTGAGAAGACATATGTACAGCAAATCCTGTTCTGACTTCAGGTCTTGCTCTGACTTCTGTTTCACAAGCACAGGTTGAAACAGTCTCTGCTGAAGACATCTTGAATGTCTTAGAAGCTGATTAGAAGTGCCATCAAGCACCTGACTCACCACTCAGCTGAGTCAGAGAACTTGGATGGTAAGCCAATTGATCTCAGTAGCAGCCATTGTGGTTGCTTGTGTTGAACCACACAATGGTCAAGCCTCAGCCAGCTCATGACTGTGAACCCTATGTCTTACATCCACTGTCAGAGGCAGTAATCCCAGCCGCTAATCCTACTCTTGAGCTCCCTGCCTTCTACCCTTCATGTCCCAGTGGGCACCGGCAACCACTGCCTACAAGAAAAGGATCCAGCCACTGCTGCCTCCCAGCACCCACTGCCTGAGGCAGTTGCCTCACTTTGCTCAATGATAGGGCTGGTTCTGAGTGCCAGTGATGGCACAGAAATTGAAATTAGCTATTTGGTGCCATCTTCTCTCACGACAAGTGCTTCAGTTTTTTGAATAAGCAAGTGATTGAAAACAACAACAATAATGCTTTGAGTTCTTTTGAGAAAAAGGGTGGTAACCTATTGTTACAGGCTGCCCCAATCTCTGAGTGGTGTGAGATCCCATGGTCTTTGCACTTAACCAGGGTTTGTGTTGCTTTTGGAATGAGGCACAACAGAAACTATAGTGTCTTTATGACATATGGTTTTATTCACACATATATACAGCCTGAGTGTACGATGGAAGGGTGTACAGCGTTCACAGTCCAAGAGGAGCCAACTTATGCCATAAATGCAGCAGCAACCTATCCAAACAGGCAGCCAGGATTGCCCTGAACCTCGGGTTCAAAACAGCAGCCAGGATGGTTCAGAGCTGTCTGCTCTAGTCTGTTTGAGGCTAAGTTGTTTCAGACTTTAAACAAAACTGTGACTCTCTTATTATGACACCTGTATGGTTTCATGTGTGTTGCTCCCATCAAGTGAATTTATACAACTTCCTCATATTGAATAATCCCATTAATAACTCTACCTCAGTCTCCTGACCAGTTTATTCTGGCTGAGCTGGTCATGCCTCTCCAGGCTCTCACACCGTGGCCACGCAAGGCACTTCTCAGTGGAGGTGCAAGTTGGATGTAATCTCCTGCACTGAAACAATCTGTGCACTACCACGGATAACCCATACATTATTAGGGGGTACAAGCAATAATATCCAAACTGTAGACCTGAAGAACAGCAAAGTACAGAATGACTTTTCACACATGGCACTGAAGATGCCTTTAAGTCTCTGACATAATATAATAATGTGCACATTTTGGAATGTCATTGAGATGGGATGGGAAGCATCAGAGAGAGACTTTTTTAAATGAAAAGTACAGATTGAGCTTTCCAGGCTCTAACATCTAATTATACACCCAAGAAATGCAAAGGAGAGTCCTTTGGAGATCATGTGTGGTGGATATGCCCTGACCATCTCTTTACAGGTCACCCTATTCCCTTGTTGCAAATTCCTTCTTGCAACCTCCCTGCAGCTTATAAGAGCTGGATTTACTCATTGCTCCCTGGGTACTGTCTGTGGTGCTGATCTCTGACGTCCTTCTCCTCCTCCTCCTTTCTTGTATCCAGGAGAAAAAAGCTGTTGATCAATTATTGCCTGAACAAGAAGCCATTTGGTACTTTGACGGGCTAGAGTGGGCTTCTTCAACCATGCGCTGTGCATGTTTACTCATTTGGAGGGTGACTGGGTGAAGTGCAAAGAAGGGGGGCCAACGACTGTTATAAGTATCTCTTATTCAAAAGCGGAACCAACTGGCTATGACTTTCCATGCTGGGAGGAAAAGACAGAGTAAATAAAGGGAGAGAGGGACAGATTGGAGGCAGGGTTTAATTATGTATGGATTTTCCTGACCACCAGGCTGTTATTACCGCCGTTTGGACTGCAATTCATCTGTTGGGCAACCAGAGAATCATATCCAGAGGACCAGCTTGTGATCAAGGGATGAAAACAGTGGTTCAGTTCTTTCAGTCTTAGGACCAAGGCAGCAGGTGGCAGCCAGAACAAAATTGCCATGAAAGTCACACTGAACGCCGTCTCCCTCTTAGCAGCCTTGGCTGGCGTGGTCAGTTTCAGCTTCCTGCTGGTGGCTATCAGCACTGACTTTTGGTACCTTATTGATGCTTCTAAGCTGCAGAAGCTCCTCAACCGCACAGACAGCCTGAGCTCCCATTCAGGGCTCTGGAGGACATGCCAAGGTAAGTAACCCTTGGTTTCCTCTTGAGCTTTGCTGGGAAATGGTTAGGTGCACAGGAAAGTGCCTTAGACCGAGTCAGAACATTGGCCCACCTAGAGCTCAGTACTGTTTACACTGACTGGCAGTGGCTCTCCAGGGTTTCAGGCAGGGAGTCTACCTGGAAATGCCAGGGATTAAGCATGGGATGTTCTGCAAAGCAGGTGATCTACTTCTGAGCCATGGCCCACTGACATGTTGGGCTTTTTGGGAAAAGTCTCTTCCTAAAGGGAAATACTCACTTCCTTTAATTGGCTGGCTGGGCAGACCCCATCCCACCAACTGTCTCGCAAGGTATCCTACCCCATGGCTGGTGCATGGGCTTATTTTATTTTCCAACCATGCTTTAGTCATATCCTACCTTTCCTCCAAGGAGCTCAAGGTGGTGTATAGATCTCCCCACTCTGTTTCATCATCACAACACCCCTGTGAAGTAGATTAGGCTAAGTGATAGTGACTGGCCCAAGATCACCCAGTGAGCTGCATGGTTGGGTGGATATTTGAATCCTGGCCTCCCAGGTCCTAGACCAGAACTCAAACCACTTCCCTACCTTGACACTCTTTATAGGTGAAAGGAAAGGAAACAAGCATTGGAGAGACAGGGCATTCCCAGAAGGAGTCCTTATTCTAAACCTGCTGGTTGCAGATCACTACATTGGTAAATAAAGGATGAGTGCTGGCAAATTAGTTAGTGATGGTTAGGATTAAGGGGCTAAGCCTCCAGGGTGGAGTTCTGAAAGGCATAAATGCTATCCATGTTGAAATCCATGGATTTGACTGCTGCAGTCAAGCAATTGTTAAAGACCAGTCTCATAGAACTGTCCTGTGCTGGGAGGTTGCGCCAAGAAGAAGTGGAGCTGCATGTTCTACTTGGTTTAGCAACCAGATTAATCAACTTGATCCTTCAGGTTGATTAATCAACGGTGGTGAAATGGAAAATTTGTAGTAAGAAATGATCTATTGAATTCTGAATAAATGTTTCATGGTCTTTCCCTTTCTTTTCTTTCTCTTCCAGTTAATAGGACATGTTTCCATTTGGTAAACCCCTTTAACCCTGACATATCAAATATCACCACATCACACAAGCAACTCTTAAGTAAGTGGCTTAAAAAATGTACCAAAATTCATATTTTAGGATAAAATGTGTTCAGAAATGCATATGTTGATATAAAACAAGTATTTATATACATGTGATATCTGAGTATGTCTTTAAATAAAAAATAGTACCTAAAAAAATCCCAGATTAATGTGGAAATAGGATGAAATAGACATACAAATGGTTTTGTTGTTGTCGGCATCCATCTGTCTCAAGAGACAATGGAGTGTGCCTCTGGGGTGAAGTCAAACTGCTGTGTTAGCAGCACCAAATTGACCTCTGTGGGGCTCAAGCCTGGACAGGTGTATGGAGGTCCTGGGCTGCCCAGATGTTAGGATGCTGTCAGCAGCTCCTGGCTGGTTGCCTAGGAAAGTATAAAGACAAGGAAAAGTATCTTACAGACCTTTTTTATTTCAATCTTTACAGAAAGAGGCTAGAGAACCTAGCCTCTTGAATAATGGCGTTGTCCCAAGTGAATCTCCACCTCCTCATCTCTTCAACTTCCTCATTTGTCATTCTCATCATCTCCTCTACGAGTGCTGCTATGTACCTATGTCTTTTGAGTTCTTTGTTCTCCTACTTTTAAGGCTCACCAGGTTTTGGGAGATGGAGGGCCTAGAATGCTTTCTAATGATGAGTCAGCTGGGTGTTGTTCTGGCTCTCCCATGATTTCCCAGCTTTTCTCCTCATCTGCCTCTGAGCTGTGACCTCTCTCAAACCCCTGTTGTCAATATATACTGTCTTCCTCTTCCTCCTCTCTGGAGGGGTCAGCATGGGGAGGTGGTCTCCACCATTCCTCTTCTGCCCAGTCCCTGACACTAGATGACAAGACCCCCTCTCTTGTCCTCAGTGATGTGGTCGAAAGGAAAGCAGAGCAATATGTGTGGTACCAGCTTGGCTGCAGGAGTTGCTGGAAGCAGTTGTACATGTCGCTATCCCAACTGCCTTAGGGACTCCACTCCGGATTTGTGTAGGGTTTATTCCTTAGCCCTTTCTTCTCCCAAAGATATCCCACAAGGCAGCAGAGGTTTAGGATCAGAGTTTTTCTTCTCCTAGATGGGCCACCTTCCCAGACCTTCCCAGGTTGATGAGCCACATCTGCCCCTCACTTCCCTCTAGTCTACAGCATGTGCAGAAAACACCTTATTGACCGTTGGACCCACAATCGGTCGTGTCCGCTCAATCTACCAGAGCCTGTCTTTGCATGCAAGGAAAGACTCTAGTTTACCCAGGGTTTGAGACCCATTGGCTACCCTCACCTGGTTTAGCTGGCCAGTCGAAGGCATTTCATGTGGTGTTACTGCTGTTGCATGTTGACAGCTTCTAGGAGCCACAGGTGAAGACTGAGACAAACTACCCCAGACGGAGCATGACGTATCGCCTTCCAGAGGTTCTACCTTTTCCCTAACACCCCATATACCCCATTTACGAATGTACACATACAATATTGACAGACTGGACCCACCCCTTTTCAGTTATGGGGGCTGCCATCCCCCTTACTTGTAATGTCCCTGAATGGTGTTCTCTCTGGGGCATTTGGAGAGGGGAAAAAATGGTATGCATTCCCTCCCACCCCAAAATTAAGATCCAAGACAAACAAAAGAAAACACTTCTTCACATAGTGTATGTACTATGTGATTTTCTCCTACAAGATGAGGCAGTGAGGCTTTTACCAGAGATTAGACAATGTTATGCAGGATATGGCTATCCGTGGCTGCTAGCCATGATGGCTGTGTTCTACCTTCACTTCCAGAGATATTGTGTACCTAAATTCCAGTTTCTGGGAATCACAAGTGGGGAGATTGATGCTGTTGCACTGAGTTCCTGCTTCCCATGGGCATCTGTTTGCCATTGTGAAAACATGATGCTGGACTACAAGAGCCTTTGGCCTAACCTAGCTGCAGAGCTTTTCCTATGCTCTTATGAGCAAAATATTCTACCTAATTTTACCATCCAGGAATGGGGCCACAACATTCAGGGTCTGTTTGGACTCAGGCCTATCTCTAGAACCAAGGAGCAAAAGTCAGCATGCTTACCAGTTAATCAATCTAATCAATCAATCAATCAATCAATCATTCTAATCTTCATTACAGTCATAGACCAGCACAAGTAGGGTGGGAGTACAATCATTTAGAATCTGTAAAACGTTTTAGAAAGCTAAAAAGTATTAAAACAGAAGGTATAGCTAAAGGACTATAAGAATCTAAAAGAAACTAAAAAAAAATCTAAAAGAAGGGTTAGGAGCATTAAACGGATGTGGAAGAGCATAAAGGTTAGTATATAAAAGACTATAACTAACATAGGGACGCGGGTGGGGCTGTGGGCTAAACCACAGAGCCTAGGACTTGCTGATCAGAAAGTCGGCGGTTCGAATCCCCGCGACAGGGTGAGCTCCCGTTGCTGCTCCTCCCAAGCTAGCAGTTCGAAAGCACGTCAAAGTGCAAGTAGATAAATAGGTACCACTCCGGCGGGAAGGTAAATGGTGTTTTCGTGCACTGCTCTGGTTCGCCAGAAGCGGCTTAGTCATGCTGGCCACATGACCCAGAAGCTGTGTGCTGGCTCCCTCGGCCAATAAAGCGAGATGAGCGCCACAATCCCAGAGTCGGTCACGACTGGACCTAATGGTCAGGGGTCCCTTTACCTTTATAACTAACATACTTACCAGAATCAAGAATAAATGTGAAAATGCAAAGGCGAGCAACAGTGAGCTCACCTACCCATTTAGCTGTAGCCAATCTTTCTGGCTATATATCTATATGGTCATTCTGCTAGCAAGCAAGATGGCTGCCTTGGTGTGGATCAACCTATCTGCTAGTGGAGAACAATAACATAAGAGGACATAAGTCAAGGGCCCACCAAGCGCAATGCACTAGATAAATCCCCCAAGCAGAATTTGAGTACAACAGCGCTCTCCCTACTTGTGCTCCCCAGAAACTGGCATTGAGAGGCCTACTGCCTCTGACAGAGGAGGTAGATAGAACATATCCTTAAAGCCTAGTTGCCAAGTTCATCTAACCCTTTTTTAAAGCTGTCCAAGTTGGTGGCCACCTTGACCTTTCGTGGGAGCGAATTCTGTAATTTAGCTGTACAGTGGTACCTCAGGATACATACGTTTCAGGTTACATACGCTTCAGGATACAGACTCCGCTAACCCAGAAATAGTGATTCAAGTTAAGAACTTTGCTCCAGGATAAGAACAGAAATCGTGCTCCGGCGGCGTGGCGGCAGCAGGAGGCCCCATTAGCTAAAGTGGTGCTTCAGGTTAAGAACAGTTTCAGGTTAAGAACAGACCTCTGGAACGAATTAAGTACTTAACCCGAGATACCACTGTATAAGAACTAAGTTGCAGCTTATGGCAATTGCTGCAAGCTCTTCCTATAATGATGTGGAAATGAGGTTTGGAAGTCAGCTCCAGGTTCACAGTTCTAATATGCTAGTCAAAAATCTCCTCATGCCTAAGCTGGGCCTGTTGCAATAAGATGAAATGTGTTCCTGAGTAAGCTGCCCACTGCAGTCTCTCTTTCTTGCATCATTTATCCATTGTTATGAAAAGCCACATTTTTCATCATCCCTTGTAGAAGAGCTGGAAGCAGTGAGAGGTGGGAGGAAATCACAGCAGAACCTCTTGTTTTGGCCAGTTGCACCAATGTACTAAGGCAAGCACCTCTAACAGTTCTGTGAATTAGTATAATAGCATTCATTACCAACTCTTGAGTTTCTATTATTTATTGGTTTCCATAGTAGCTTTAAAAGACCAAGAGGGAAGCCAGGTTTTCAGTGCATGGGCAATTAGTACTGAAGAGAAACAAAGTGGAACTCAGAATCCAGCCACTCACTTACAAGGATGAAAATCTGCTCTTCTACTCTTCTTTTTTTCAAACAGCAAGGCAGACTCTAGTCTTCTTAATTGAAACCCAGCATGTTCATTGCCAACATTTTAGGGTGATAACCATAGTCTCCAGTTGCGACGAAAATGCCTGGGACCTTCACAAAAACCCTTAAGCCCCCACAGCTTCTCACTTTACCATGCAGAGTCCTGAATTCCCAGCTGCAAGCCTCAAAATACCTCAAATCTTTCTCCACCTTTTCATTCATTGCTCCTTCCATCTCCTGGCCAGGGAAAGGGAGAAGCTTTAGATGTACTGCTGCAGGTGGGGTCTGAGTTGGCTACAACCCAACGTAGACTCACCTTTAAACACAAACTGATTTGATTGTCTCTCCCAGGCTTACTTGAAGCCCAGGCCCAGGCCGCCCAGGGCAGAAGACAAAAGAGGGAATTAGAAAGGCCTAGGGAAGTATTCTACACCTCTCTGTTTATTCAGCTGGTGGCAAGATAGCTGGCAGGAAAGGTCATCAGAGAAGCACAGAAAGCTGATTGCACAGGAAGAAAGCAAACAACCGAGCAGTAGCTCCTAGGAGGCACCAGAGGGCTCCGAGGAATTTCCAGTTATCCATTAGCCCATTGCACATGAAAAAGACAAAAAAGACAGGAAAAGAGAAAACAGGCAAGAGCAGGAAGGGTCACTTACAGCAAAGAACAAATCACAAACAAGCACAGCTGGGAGACAAGGTACCCATTCTCTCATCCAAAACATGTTTATTCAGAAGGAAGCACAGCTCAGTGGGACTTCAGATTGCAGCCACCATGATATTTATGAAAACCAGGCATCTTATGACACCTCTAAAGATGGACAGATGGATTGTGGCCTGGCGTCTGTGTGGATAGGGGAGCTCCAGCCCTGATGGATTTTGTCTTTTCTTTACAAATTGTTCTCTTACCACCAGGGATTGACAAATATGTCAGTTTCAGTTTCTCATTTCCCCCCACCTTAAATTCATTTCTCCATATTTCCACGGCAACTTGCTAAGGGGGGAAATTCATGAAAATTCTTTATCATTTCACTTCAAATTTCTCCTAATAAATGTGGTTTTTGGACCGACTAATACATTTTTTTGTATTGTAAAATTGGAGAAGCATGAATTTGGAAGGAGAGCTGCCCTTTGGTTCACATATAGGCTCTCGAACTGCAAATTAGGTGGTTTCTTGTTGAAATGAGAACAATGGAGAAAAGGGCATTACAAAATCTAGACTGTAACCAAGTGAACAAAGTCAGAAAAGAAAATGCCAAGAAGCTTCTAAGTGGAGATTCCTCAGATTTAAAAAAATAAATAAATGCAGAGATACAGTATTTAAAGTAAGAAAAAGAGAAAACAATTAAGAAATCCTTATGTTGGAGTACAACAAAGGGACTTTCATTTTGTTGTCTGAAACATTTGTATAAGCAATCAGGATTACTGTCTCCAACAAATGTGTCTCTGCAACTAGCTGTTCTTAGTTTACATGTAAGTTTCTCTTCAAGGGCTACGTGACAAAAACTTTCATACCACGCTGTTAAATTAGGTCCTTTGAGATCCTTGCAAAAAGTGGCAATAGCCATATGTGTAAGGACAGTACTTGGCAAGTGTGATTGATGGATTTTGTTTCCCTCCAGATATGCATGGGGCAGTTGTGATCCTGCTACCTCTTAGCCTCATCTTGTTGATCTTTGGAGCAATGACGGGCTTCATCAGTATCCTTGCACAGGCTTACTTCCTCCTTATGTTCACTGGCCTCCTCTTTCTCCTTGGAGGTAAGCCATGGAGCTGCTATGGATTTGGGGGCGGGGTGGGAAACAATTCCTTGCATTTTAGACTATCCTTAATTCCACAGAAGCTGAAGGCAAGGTAACCTTCCCCATGCACCATGGCCTGCAGACTGAATATGGCCTGACAGGTCCCAGACTTGCCAGCCCCCAGATTTTATCTCTTGATCTGATCAGGAGATAAAGCTCGATCTGCTCTTTAGAGGGCAATATCTAAAGAGCAGGCAGAATGATTTATCTCCCTGATTGGCACATAAAATATCCCTCTGGCTGCTCTCTAGATAGAATCGCTGAAGGACAGTTGGGTGGATCTTTTATCTCCAATCTCAGCACCAAGCACTGCAGCACTGAGATCAGAGATAAATCTTCTTCTTGCTCTTTATGAATAAAAGGTAGTGTCCACCCTCACTCTAGTACTGCCCTTTACTCTTAAATCGCAGGCAGAGACCATATAACACCAGTCCTGAAATACCTACGTTGGCTCCCAGTACGTTTCTGAGCACAATTCAAAGTGTTGGTGCTGACCTTTAAAGCCCTAAACGGCCTCGGCCTGGTATACCTGAAGGAGCGTCTCCACCTCCATCGTTTAGCCTGGACACTGAGATCCAGTGCCGAGGGCCTTCTGGGGGTTCCCTCCCTGCGAGAAGTGAGGTTGCAGGGAACCAGGCAGAGGGCCTTCTCGGTAGTGGCGCCTGCCCACGGAAGCCCTCCCATCAGATGTCAAGCAAATAAACAACTATCTGACTTTTAGAAGACATCTCAAGGCAACCCTGTTTAGGGAAGTTTTTAATATTTGATGTTTTATTGTGTTTTTAATATTCTGTTGGGAGTCGCCCAGCCAGATGGATGGGGTATAAATAAATTATTATTATTATTATTATTATTATTATTATTATTATTATTATTATTATTAACTTTATAAAGGTAAAAGCAGCTTTCATTGCCCCACCCACTTTTGCCTCTAGCTCCACCCACCCTAGAAAGTTGCCCTGAATGGAATATGGTCCCCAGACTGGAAAAGGTTCCCTCTTCAGACTCCTTCACAGCTCGTCTCTCTTTCAGCTCTCATCACACTGGCCGGGCTCAGCATCTACATCACCTACTTTGCTGCAGGCTTCAGGGAAGCCATTCTCCTCCTGGGAAAGAAGAACCTTCTGGACATTATCAACATCCGGTTTGGCTGGTCTCTGGCCTTTGCCTGGCTTTCCTTGGCTACTGAGGTCCTCACTGGGCTAGCTTTCCTCCTGATGGCCAGGATGGTGGATATGAAGCAAAGGCAGGATTGCACCATATGAGGTTATCAAACACCACAGCCCATCCGGATCAGTTGGTTTTGACACCACCAGGTTTCCATCTCTCCCTACTTTCTCTTTCTTATTTTGAGCCACCTGCTGGCACTTAAAAGTGAGTGACTTTTAAGTCAAAGGATGGCTTGTCTTGCTCTCCCCTGGGCCTTTTTTCTTCCATGCGCTTATAATTTTGGTTAGCAGATGAGTGGCCTTCTGGAAAGAGGGTCTTGTGCAGATCTAGGCTCCTTTTGTCAGTGGCGAGGAAATAAAATATGATGTATGAAAAGAAAATTCCTGGATGCCAAGATCCAGGTTTGGTGAGAGAATCCCTGCAGAGATTTAAAACCACAAAACATGCAGCAAAATGAAGAGTGGAAATATAGGTTGTTAGACCTTTAAAACATGCCCTTTTAAGTTCCAAAATAGTCCCCTCTTCCGCCAGCACAAAAAGGCTTGTAAGAGCCATGCGGTCTGAGCTTGGATCAACCAGCTCAGACATCTTCACATGCTGAGCTTCTCTGGTAGACTGAAGATGAACAAAGGCCTTGATCACCTTCCTCCCAAGGTGAGGGGGAATAACCTAGTTTGGGTTTGAGATAATCAGAAATCTGTACTCCTACAGAACAGGTGCCTACCCACCACTAGGTTATATATCTGTGTATTAAATGTCTCTAAATTCTGCAAGCAGAAGCAATTCCTGCGGGCAGAATGGTTTCCACGAATAGATCAGATGTAGATAAAAACACAGTTATAGAAAATTGCTTCTAACAGCAAAGTCAGATGGTGAGCACTGGCAGAAACGTAGCAAAAATGGGACCACAAGGGAACAAGCAGAAATGACCCACATGTTTGATGGAACTTTGAGAGTTGCAGAAATACATTTTTTTTAAGCCCCCAAAGCTTTTGGGGGAAACCCACTGGAAAACAACAACAATGCAGCGAGAGTAGAACATGTTGAATGGCCACAGAATTTAGAGTGACGGTTTGAAAAGAAAAGAAGAAAATAGAATGGGAGGCCAAGGTGGGATGGTTGGTTTATTGGAACACTGAATGTAAGCTCTCCTTTGTGAAAGGAGATGAACTGCAACATTTACTTGCAAGCCCCCCTTTGTACATCTGTACTGCCCAACATCTGCAGGTGCCTCCCAAGTCCTTGTGACATCAAAGAATGCTCACAAACATTCTACCTTCAAAGGGCAAAGGTCTGTATATTCTTGATGAACTGAGCACTGGTTATATCCTACAAAGAAATACTGCTGCGTGCAAGACATCTGCTTTGGCAGAGGTGCTGCTTCTCTTCAAAGAGAGGTGTATGTGTGAGTTTGTGTGTAGCTGCCTGTGCCAGCCCTGGTGTATCCTGCAAAGAAATCCTGCTGCACACAGGACACCTGCCAATACTATAGAGAAGGGGTGGCAACATGCTTTCAAGTTGGTTTCCACACCAGAAATAGCTCTGAAAGAAGAACTGTGGTCTTTGCTGACATCTCGTGGCAGGAGTGAGAAACTGAATAGCTGAGAAGGAAAAAGAGAGGGTGCCATATTTATCAGCTTCAGTTGGCAAGACAGCTAAGGCCATTCCTGGACCGAGGTAGCTTAGTCACTGTGGTCCTGGCATCCACAACCTCAAGACTAGATTACTGCAATGCAGTAATGTGAGGCTTCCCTTGGGCTTAGTCCGGAAGCTGCAGAATACAGCAGCTAGGTAGTTGCCTAGGACATCCCATTGACGCTGTGTAACACCTCTGCTGAGTTTGTTGCACACTGCCTGCCAATATCCTACTGGGCGTGATTCAAGGTTTTCTTTTTGCATTTAAAACAACTTGGGACCCAGTCATCTAGAGGCCTGCCTTCTTCAGAAAAGACATTGTCCCAGAGGTGTGTTTAGTATGCACAAGGGAGCAGGCTTTTTTGTTTGTTTAAGAAAGCTTTACCGTAATGTGACCCAGTCATTTTACGGGAAATTACTTGTACAACTATAGCAATGGCCTTAATTTCTTTTAGTTCACCGAGTCTGCAGTCTTTTGTGTTTTATCTTGTACTACCCCACTTTGGTGGCTTTTGGCTTGTGACGTGGTTTCTAAATCTGCAAATAAATAAAATATGATGTAAGAAATCTGGCTAGATTCTCCAAAGTATGTTGGGCCAACTCTATATTCAATTAGGCCTGGAATATCACCGGTCTGCGAGTGTCTCTTTGTTCTGATGCATGTGTGTGTTCATCTTTGTCGAATCACAGAATTGTAGAGTTGGAGGGATCCCCAAGCCTCATCTAGTGCAACCCCCTGCAATGTAGGGACCACAGCGAAAGAATCCTTGATAGATAGTCAACAGCCTCTGTTTAAAAACCTCCAATGAAGGAGAGCCCATCACCTTCCAATGTAGCCTGTTCTGCTGTCAAACAGCTCCTACTGTAAATCAAAGTCTGTCACAAGTAGCAGACTCCAGACTAGATTGTCTATGTGGCTGGCCACTGTGAGAACATGACTCTGGACTAATGGGCCATTAACCAGGGTCTTCTTAAGTTCTTAGGCCTTAAGACTCAGACAACCAAGGGCTCAGATTCCCGGGTGAAGTCGAAAGGTGAGAGGCAGGAAGGCAGATGCAGGAACCCTTATATTTGCATGCTCTCCTATGATTGGTGGCTTTTTCGATCCCCTGTGTCATTGATTGGATGCATTCTCAATCCCCAGGAAGATGTGGATTGCGTCCATTTTGTCTCTGGAACCCAGTTGCTCCAGTGCAGGGATGGGGAACCTCTGGCCCTCGAGAACCACAGGTTCTAGATTCTGCAATCAAGTGCATTTCAGCTGTCTTATTTAGTCTAAGACCTCCACAGATAGTGAAGGAAATTTGTGGTTTCCATTTCCATGCTTTCCTCCACCCATGTGTGTGTGCTTTTTGGTTTTTTTTAAAAAAAGTGTAAACTCTAGGGTAAAGGGGACCCCTGACTATTAGGTCCAGTCATGACCGACTCTGGGGTTGTGGCTCTCATCTCGCTTTACTGGCCGAGGGAGCCGGCGTACAGCTTCCGGGTCATGTGACCAGCATGACTAAGCCGCTTCTGGCGAACCAGAGCAGCGCACGCAAACGCCGTTTACCTTCCTGCCAGAACGGTACCTTTTTATCTACTTGTACTTTGACGTGCTTTTGAACTGCTAGGTTGGCAGGAGCAGGGACCGAGCAACGGGAGCTCACCCCGTCGCGGGGATTTGAACCGCCGACCTTCTGATCAGCAAGTCCTAGGCTCTGTGGAGTTAACCCACAGCGCCACCCGCTAATTTCTTTAAATAAATTCAGTTGTACTTTTTAATTTTTATTTCAAAATCTTCCTCCTCCTCCTTTAAGCACAGGAGACAGAGAAAGAGGGAGGGAGGGAGAAGCTAAGCTGGGTTTCCTGTAACAATATTTCAGTGTCAGTAGTGTCTCTCTCTCTCTCTCCACCTGCCCCCTGAAGCTCAGCATAATTCTGCCGACGACAGGGACCCTGGGACACCCACATCTGCTTCCTGAAGAATTACCTTCCTTTTCCCAGGCAACCTGGCCTCCTCAAATATTTAAAAGGCAATATTGTCTCGTTCGCACGCAGGGTGCAGAGCAAATAAATGGCTCCGCACTGCGCAGCAGCTAGGTCTTCCTCCAGCACTTTGGAACTGGCTGCACCAGCACAGTGGGGAAGCGTTTGCATAATCATCCTTTTATTGCCATGATCGCCAGCTTGGCTGGCATTGTACGAAGATGAAAGTTAATTATGAAAAGAGAAATGCATTAAAATAATATTTAGGCCTGCCTGGAGGAAGGCTAGAAAGGCAGCAGCCAGCTTTGGAAGCCCCCTGACAAGCATGCTCAACACCCGGGCTGCGTGATCTGTGCTAAACAGTAAAAACACTCACGTACCATGCACCAGCTGCAAACACCAATTCTGGGGCAGAAAAAGCTGAGTTTTTCAAGCTGCACATGCAAGAGGGCAGGTCTCTGCTCCAGGGAGAATGCAATCTAGATTTTAACACAGGGGAGATAGAGAAAAGTTGATTTTTTTTTTTTAAAGGGACTTCAAGGAGCAGGATGAGGATTTTTCCAAACTGAGTGAATCGGCAAGGAGAAAGCACAAATTAGGTATTCCCCTTTAATCGCAAAGTGAGTCAATTTTCTGACTGCTACCCTCACTGCGGAAGTTATCGGTTTGCACAGACACATAACAAAGCCAAAGTTCCTGGAGTCAAAACATGAGATACCTAAAATGCCAGCGAGGCTAAACTTTTCAGTCAGAGTACATGACAACTGAGCCAAGTAGCCAACTGACTGCTTGCTTTCTAGGTAGAGAATGCCCCCCTACTCCCCCCCCCCACAATATGCATTCACAGTTTTTATTTTCATTTAAGGACATGAGAGCATAAGGTATGTTTAGGTTAGAGAAGAGAAGACTGAGAAGTGGAATGAGAGGCAACTTGAAATATCTGAAGGGCTGCCACATGGAAGATGGCCAGGTTTGTTTTCTGCTGCTCCAGGGGGTAGAATCTGAACCAATGGATTCAAAGTACAGTGGTACCTCTGGATGCGAACGGGATCCGTTCAGGAGCCCCTTTCGCATCCTGAAGTGAACGCAACCTGTGTCCGCACGTCTGCGTGTGCTTGGGTCACAATTTACTGTTTCCGCATGTTAAGTTGTGGGTGAACATATCAGACGACACAGTGATTCTTCAAACAGCTCTTGTTTATTCACAGGCCAGGACAGAACTGAACTGAAGGGTTCAGTCAGCCTGCTTATATAGAGCTCCAGTACAATGTAACTGTAACAATTTTCTAAAACTATCCAATCACTGAACGTCACTTTCGATCCCTTATTTGCATAACTATCTACAGTATCCCCTTGCTGGCCCAGGGTGAGAACTTCAGTACATAACACCACACATGCGTGTGACGTCATTTTGACCGTCTGCACATGCGCGAGTGGCAAAACCTGGAAGTAACACACGGAGCGCAACCCAAAAATACTTAACATGAAGCTACTTCAACCTGAGGTATGACTGTAGAAGAAAGGAGAGGAGATTCCGATTAAACATCAGGAAGAACTTTCTGACAGCAAGAGCTGTTTGACAGAGTAACAAATCACCTCAGAAGGTGGTGACCTCTGCTTCATTGGAGGGTCTTAAACTGAGTTTGGATGGCCATCTCACAGGGATTATGTAGCTGTGATTCCTGCATTGCAGGGGGTTGGAGCAGAAGACCCTTGGGGTACAACACTACAATGCTATGGCTTTAAGAGCCTGATGGCCCTTGCAGTGGCCAAGCCAAAGCCTCTGAGAAACCCACAAGAAGGACCTGAGCAGAAGAGCAACTTCCCCTCCCTGGATTTGCAGCACTGGCATTCAGAAGCACAACTACCTGTGATTGTGGAGCAGAGCCACCATGGCTACAAAAAAAAAAGTGGTGCTCTAGTAGATTTGATGGCTCATTACCTCCTGCAGATCCTCCCCAGGTGCTGTTGTCAAGTTCAGGATGCCTCTGCTCAACCCTCCTCCCTGCCTCCACATCCTCAGGGAAGAATGATGTGAAGGGAACTCTGAGGCTGCCAATCCGGAAATCTGTGCTCTTCCTGTCATTTTCTCCCCATCCTCTCGGAACCACTGGCCATTGCACCTCTGCTTTACATCAAGGAGAAAACTCTGACGAAGCGAGACAGAGCCCTGAGGACAAGGCAGGGTGGCAGCCTGCAGAGGAAATGACAGGGACTCTGGAAATCTTCTTACAGCATAACACTTGTCAGCAGTTCCCGATAAAGCACATGCCTGAGCACTTGGAGCTCCAGGCAAGGCTGAGAGGGAGCGAAGCGTTTGCAGAAGCGCATGCTTACTCCAATGGGGAGCGTGGGGGCTCGGCTTGGTTCTCCTCAAATCCCTCTGGAAATGTACCTGACTGCACAACAAATAACAATGAACTGTGATCTCTGGAGTTAACAGGGTCTCCACCGCGTGACGAAGGCCAGAGTCATAGATTTTAGTATCGCTAGATAACTGTGGACAGAAAGCACCAGAAGCTCCTGCTCAGACCCCACTGGAATCAAATGGAACAGTGCTAGGATGAGGTGTACCCTTAATAAAATATACCTGAAGGAGCGTCTCCACGCCCATCGTTCAGCCCGGACACTGAGATCGAGGGCCTTCTGGCAGTTCCCTCATTGCGAGAAGTGAGGTTACAGGGAACCAGACAGAGGGCCTTCTCGGTAGTGGCGCCAGCCCTGTGGAACGCCCTCCCTTCAGATGTGAAGGAAACAAGCAGCTATCTTATCTTTAAAAGACATCTGAAGGCAGCCCTGTTTAGGGAAGTTTTTAATATTTAATGCTGTATTGTTTTTAACACTCAATTTGGAGCTGCCCAGAGTAGCTGGGGAAACTTAACCAGATGGGCAGGGTATAAATAAATTATCATTATTATTATTATTATTATTATTATTATTATTATTATTACAGTGGTACCTCGGGTTACGTACGCTTTAGGTTACATACGCTTCAGGTTACAGACTCCGGCTAACCCAGAAATAGTTCTTCAGGTTAAGAACTTTGCTTCAGGATGAGAACAGAAATCGTGCTCCGGCGGCGCAGCGGCAGCAGGAGGCCCCATTAGCTAAAGTGGTGCTTCAGGTTAAGAACAGTTTCAGGTTAAGAACGGACCTCCGGAATGAATTAAGTACTTAAAACGAGGTACCACTGTATTACTACTACTACTACTACAAAGTTTTGAAATACTACGATGGTGATGATACCCAAGTAAGTTAGAGCAGGCCCATTAAAAGCAATGGATTTAACATTGATTTCAGCAGAATATAAGAACACAGGAAGAGCCCCGCAGGATCAGGCCAATGGCCCATCTAGTCCAGCATCCTGTTCTCACAGGGGCCAACCAGATGCCCCATTGGGAAACCCGCAAGCAGGACCTGAGCACAAGAGGACTCTCTCCCCTCCTGTTCTTCCCAGCAATTGGCATTCATAAGCATTGCTGCCTCCAGCCATGGAGGCAGGGCAGAGCCACCGTGGCTAGTAGCCACCAATAGCCCTCTCCTCCATGAATTTGTAACCTCTTTCAAAGCCAGCCCGTTTGATGGCCATCAATGCCTGC